CACAAACAACAACATTAACTGTGAAACCACCACAAATGGCAACAAAGACCAGTGCATTAGGCTAAATCATATAGCCCATGAATGCTGAGACATTTGAAACGTTTTTTAACTATATTACAAAATCTTGATGAAAACCAGATTCAATTACTGAAAATAACTGTTTAGGCTACCTCCGAAACCCCAACTATACACCAACCTTCTAACGAGTGACAAACATTATAATCCCAATATGTAATTAGGGATTCAACACTAATCTCTCTCTCTCTTTCTCTCTCTCGCCCCATCTCTCTTGCTCTCTCTCCCTCTCTCCCTCCCCCTCTCGCGTTCTCTCGCCCTCTCTCCACCGCTCCCTTTCACTCTTTCTACCCGAGTAAACGAATTGATTACGGATCAATAGGACCACGTAAACCACCTCCACGTAACGCTCCGCTCCGATTACTTCCACACACAGATACGCGCGCGCACGCGCGCACCGAGGACATACGACACGTGCACAGGCGCGCACGCACGCGCGCACCGTGGACATACGACACGTGCACACGCGTGCATGCACGCGCGCACCGTGGACATACGACACGTGCACAGGCGCGCACGCACGCGCGCACCGTGGACATACGACACGTGCACAGGCGCGCACGCACGCGCGCACCGTGGACATACGACACGTGCACAGGCGTGTACGCACGCGCGCACCGTGGACATACGACACGTGCACACACGGGCACACACGGGCACGCACGCGCGCACCGTGGACATACGACACGTGCACAGGCACGCGCGCACCGTGGACATACGACACGTGCACAGGCGTGCACGCACGCGCGCACCGTGGACATACGACACGTGTATACACGGGCACGCACATCACAGGTTCCTGACTCAGTAGGAGCTACGCAGCGCGCCATCTCGGTTATTAATCATGTCTAAAGGTGTGACGAAGAAGACCTACTAGTACTAACGGCGTTCCTGTACGGTTACACAACACTGCACGTCTTTAGCCGTCGCACACACACAGCTAAATCTCATACTGGACGCACATCCGCGGAAAGATAGCACGGAATTCATACATTCCCCTTCCATTTGCCGCATAGAGACGCGTTTTCCCCATATCCTTCTCTCATCCTTCCGCCTCCTCCCCCTCCTCCTGCTCCTCCTCTCATAGTGACGCCTAGACACAATGACGTGTGCAACTATGCTCAGTGTAGGTTCGATCCAATACTTCCCAGTAGAGCCACCAACGTCAGCAAGATTCACACTGGGGGAGACAGTGGGAGACAGTGGGAGACAGGGGGAGACAGGGAGACAGTGGGAGACAGGGAGACAGGGAGAGACAGGGAGACTACACTGGGGGAGACAGGGAGACAGGGAGACTACACTGGGGGAGACAGTGGGAGACAGGGAGAGACAGGGAGACTACACTGGGGGAGACAGGATTCACCACGTGATGCTTCGCGCTTACATTACATCCAGTGCGGCTAAAGAAAACATCAGAAGCGAAATTTCAGTTTTATCAGTGGGGATAAAACTATTGAAAAACGTACTGTTTTTACTCGCTCCTGATAATATCAAGAGCTAATTAGTAAACACCACAGGTGTTAGGTAATAACAGGTGTTTATTAGCTCTTGGTAATATGAACACTATATTTCGACCTGATATTATTGTATTATAATCATATTTTACTATATTGCAGCATATCTTATAACCTGATATTACGCCAGTTTGCTTCCATCTTGCGTGCAATACATTATCACAGTGATGGCTGAATATGTTATTACAGCAAGTCGACATTAACGTAGTCGGGACCGACGTATTTGCTAACTTTCCCATATCTGTTGTTGACCTATAAAATGTGATTTCCTCTCCTGTCCAGTGCCTGCCTGGTTTCGGCTAACATCGGTTTTTCAGAACGGATGCCCATCACAAGAAACGGCGAAAAGGAACGACATTGAAAATCACTTGAAAACCGAAAGGTAACACGTCAAAAACTGACATACGAAACAAACACACGAGGTAAAATTGCTCCTTAAAATTACGATTGCCAGAAATGATGATCAACCAGAATGCGATTATAAGTATTATGGTAATTAATGAAGTTGTGCATAAAATGGTAGTCAAAAGCATCAGCTTTATAGGTGAACAACAATTTTGACCATAGAATTCAATCATGCATCCTCCCCTTCTTCCCACTGTGAATCCTTCTCATTGGTTCTACAGCAAAAGTGTATTCCTATGTAACCATGAATATAGGGGCCAATCTAAGAAAAAAATGTCTTCCGGAAACTGAAAGTATCTGTTGTAGACAGTTGACCGTTATACAGAGGTGCCGGCTAACAGCAGGATGATTACAAAACAATGAGCCATAGCGCCACTTCACGACGGGTTAGAGATTTATTCTCTCTGCTTTTTATCACATCCACGGCCACGCGGGCGTTGATGTAGGCGTGTGCCGCTGCCCTGCCGCGTCTATGTGCGTTTAGCACGTACGTAGTGATGGGCAGAAATCGCTAACAAGACATTTGGTTAGGAAGGGTAAGCCATACCGATACAGCCGGCACAATACACAGCAGCAGCAGCAGCAGCAGCAGCAGCAGCAGCAGCCGCAGCAGCAGCAGCAGCAGCAGCAGCAGCAGCAGCAGCAGCAGCCGCAGCAGCAGCAGCAGCAGCAGCAGCAGCAGCAGCAGGAGCAACAGCAACAACAGCAAGTAGCATTCGGTAGCGTTCTCCCTCTTCTCTCTCTATCCATCTTCCCCTCCCCACACATTCTCTTTCGATCTATCGGTCTGTCTCTCTTTCAACCTCTCCCTCCCCACACATTCTCTCTCGCTCTCTTCCGCTTCCCCCTTGTCTAGCTGCTCTCTCATCCTAAATTGCTCGCTACACCACCCTTCTCTCTCTGATATCTGTTTCTGACTATCTCAATCTCTCTTTCTCTCACTCTCCTTCTCTCTTTCATTCTCCCGCTCTCTCCATCAGTCTCTCTCTCTAGCGCCTCTCCATATCGCGTTCTTCTCCCTTTTACTGCTGATCGATCACACAACGGCACAGACTCGCCTATCCCAGAAATACTAGGTTGCCCTGACAACAGACTAGACTGCCCCCCCCCCCGTCGCCGCGCGGCCGCCGTAAGCGCTTGCTAGCTGCGAGAACGCTGGCGGTCGTCTATAACTCACCCCACCGCAGCATCGCACGGCAGCAGCACCACCAGCGCTAGCGGATCTCGACGCGGTTACGTACACACACGTATGATGGCGGGGGGGGGGTACGACAGGGAGCTGCTGTTACACTTCGCACGCCCACACGCACACACACACACGCACGCACGCGCACGCACGCACGCACGCACGCACGCACACACACACACACACACACACACACACACACAAATATTGATGCACTGACTTTAATAATGTCTCAGAAGCCAGAAATTGTGTCTAATTATCGTAAAGGTGTTTCCCAAACGAAAGTCAAGATTATGCTTTGGCGAAATCGACGAGGTCAACAATCATTCATAATCGTGACAAAATCACGGAGGCCGGGTTTACATGTTGCTGTATGCATATTGTGTACATGACTGCATGCACTGGTTGTCTCATTCGCATCGTTTTTTTTCATTCAAATCTCGTCGCAGCAAGGCAGTTTATTGTCTGTGCAAAACAATGCAAGGGACGGGTGGAAACAGGTCTAGCCATTCAATAAAAAAAAACAAAGAGGCAAGTGCAATTTCAAGCTACCTGCCCGGGGGCGAATTTTGGTTTCCTCGGGCCATCGGGCAAGCGGGTTTGCCTAGCCCGGCACCGCAGGGTTCGAATTTCGGCTGAAAATCTAGTGGACAGCAAGACCTGCACAAAAATTTTGTGGTTCGCTTATTTACTAGCAGTGAGTAACAAAATAGTATATAAAGATAACCATTGGCATTAAAACAGCATACATGTAACTTGCAATTAGAGTTGGTCAAATAATGTTTCAATCTCTAGGAATGACGGGGGAGCTTCTGGGTAAGGTTTTACTTTTGTTTTTCTACTCCCCAGTCTACGGTACCCCCATGCATAGATCAAGTGCCTAGAATCTTTAAGTATATACAGTTCACATTGCTTCTATATATCTAACTGAATAAAAACAGTCCACTTTCTACGTTAAGAAAAGTGACGAATTCAGTTAACAACTTTGATTACGTGCGTGTCAGGTGTCACTGGTCGTGCCCTCACTCCCCACGATAACCCCTGCGATATATAAACTTAATATTATTGTTATGCGGTCATAAAAACACTGTCAGGAGGACCGGTAGTTTCGTAGAGATGGTGGCCCGAGCGAAAAACTGGGTGGGCTCGGGCCTCCGGGTCAATTTCGACCGCTGCCGGCGGCACGGGAGCGATTTTTTCTCGTATCTTCCAAAATTTTCGCTCTCGTAATTGTTGTTACCAGAGCGCTTTGAAAGCTGACGGGAGCGAAAGCGCTCGCCGCTCCCGTGTATTTTTTTCGCTGACTCGTACGCCTTAAAGGCTAAACAATTTTCCTAGAGTTTTTCGATTTTCCACTTTCCATGACCACTCTCTCACTAAAAATTCCCAGCACCAACTTATAACTCAAACTATTCAACCAGCCTCTGTGCACCACCCCACAACTAACTCGCTTTTTGAAAGAACACTACATACCACTGTTGCCTCCGTGTCGGTTCTTTTCCGCTTTGCACTGCTGTTAGCAGGCGGTGATCGCATCGCTCCCTGGCGGCGGCCCGCAGGCTGCGGCGTCGCCGCGTGCGCCGCCGGTCGCGCTCGCAGTCTCATCGCCTTGGTTACCGTCGTTAAGTCTCCGCGGAGTGCGATGGCGTCGTCGCGGCGTCTCCGACCGTCGTGGTGTCTGCTAACGTCGCAGAGTGGTCTGCCGTCGTTGCTACACCCTCCAGTTTCCTGGTTCCTACTGCTGTCTCTATGTTTCTCGTCCCTTCCCGGTGTCCTGTGTCTCACGTTGTGCCGGCGACTTCCAGTGATCCTGTTCCCTGTTGTCTTGGTATCTGCAACAATCCTATATCTCACACCGTCTCTGTTTCTTGTAGTTCCGGCGTCTCTCACCTCCTCCTATGTCTCCATTGACTCACACCATCTGTCTCTGGCTGTTCCAGTGTCTTACACCATTATTATCTTGTGCACTGCCTTACACAGTCTCTACTTCTTGTCGCCGCGGTGTCTCACGCCGTCCCTGTCTCGTGTTGTAATGCACCGTCTCTATGACTCTATGTCTCGCACAGTCCCGGCATCTCGCGTAGAGCTGGAGTCACTCGCCGTCTTGCTGCGGCAGCATGCGTGGCGCACCCACGTGGCTGCCTCCACGCTCCTCACACCACGCACCACTTTCCTCTCTCCTCTCCTCTCCTCGTCGTCTCACTCTGACTGCAGTCTCCTTTCCTTCAAGCAGTAGACCGCGCGTGCAATGATTCCAACATCACCGGCCGCACTCTCCTCCGGGAATGTTCAGGAGTTCACGGCAACTTCGTGCGATGTATGCCAAGAGCTGTCGATCGACTCTGTAATAAAACCAGACAGATGAGTTGCTTTCCAGAGGGCGGTAGTCAGTAACAGTCTCAAACGCAATAACAACAGTCTTCACCATTTTTCTGCACACAACAACAACCTTCAGTAGGTGTTCACAGGAAAACAACAGTGTTCAACAGTCTTCAAAACTCTTTCAGGTAGCAATAGCCTTTAACTCTTGTCCACACACACGTCAAGTATTCAACAGTTGTCCTGACACAACAGTCAATAGTTATTTGTCCACACACAGCAGTTTTCAATAATTAGTTGTCCACACACAACAGTCAATAGTTGGTTGTCCACACACAACAGTCAATAGTTAGTTGTCCACACACAACAGTCTTCAATTGTTAGTTGTACACACGCACACGCACACGCACACGCACACGCACACACACACACATCACGCGGCTGCAAAAGCCATGCCATATGACTCATCACCATCGACGTGGAGAGAGGAAGAGAGAGAGAGAGAGAGACAGACAGAGCACGCGCAGCAACAGCAGCATTAGCTACTTTACACGATTCCTGATGACCCAGCGTATGCGTATGCGGGCGACACGCTCCCGTGCAGGTTGAGGGGGAGGGGCAAAATGGGGGAGGAGGTGCACAGAGGGGGAGGGGTAGGCGCGGAGGGGCAACAAGAAATTCAGATGTACAGGGGACCGCAAAGACACCTGCCCACACTTCCCTGTTCGACCACACACATGCACGTGAAGACACATGTCTTGAATAGAAAATAATAATTATAATTACTCGGCATTGCTATTAAATAAATCGAGCCATCTTTTTCGTTTCCCTGAAAGTCTACTTGGAAAGCACACCATGATATACGACTCTCGCTGTCAAATCACCTAACCCGATATATTATATATATGTCATGCTGCAAATGCACTCTGATTAATGTGTGTTATGATGCAGATGTGACATAACACAGGTGTGTCATGCTATAGCTGTGCCCTAATACAGATATGACATGCTACAGCTGCACCTGATACAGATATGACATGCTACAGCTGCACCTGATACAGGTATGTCATGCTACAGCTGCACCTGATACAGATATGACATGCTACAGCTGCACCTGATACAGATATGACATGCTACAGCTGCACCTGATACAGGCATGTCATGCTACAGATGCCCCTGATAC